GATTTTCGGGACAAACAAAACTCTTACAACATCAGTTTAAATTTTGACTGTGCTTCTAAAATCTAAATTATTCACCATCCCCCACTCCACACACGCGCACACACACACACACACACACAGAGAGAGAGAGAGAGAGAGAGAGTTAAAATCAAGTCATTATGTTCCCAACATCTTCTTGATAAGTAAAGAAGATTAAAACCATATTTAATTGTTGAATTTATGTGTGAATGCAGTCTAGGCCATTTGGGGTATCTCTTCTCATTGCTGGTCATGATGAGAATGGTCCAAGCCTGTGAGTATACTCATTTATGTTTAAAAGTTTAAACCTTTTTACTCGTTTATGATATGCATAGTTCTGAGTGTAATAAATTGAATGTCTTAATATTATTAAGAGTAAATTCCATAAAAGGTCCCTAGTTATAGGTCGTTTTACATGTCAAATATTACTAATTTAGTCCCCAATTATTATATCATTTTTCATGAATGATCCTTTGTTAATTTTTTTGTTAAGAACATGGATAAAATTGTATATTCATACTTCTCTCTCTCCTCAATTAAGCTTCCTCCCTCCTCTCTTACTCTTTCCCAAACTCGTCGCTGTGTTTGAAGCTCTAAACCCAAAACTGAAATGATCATTCCTCTCTCAATTATTAGTCTTTCTGGTGGAACCTAAAATCAAAACCAATAAGGTTTATGAATGAGTTTTATCGGTTAGTCTCAAGAAATTGCAAAAAAATAAACATTAAAACTCATCCATGAAGGTTACTGGTTTTGAATTTGGGTTCCACCAGTTTGACAAACAATTGAGAGAAGAGTGATGATTTCGATTTTGGGTTCAAAGCTTCAAACTCAGCGACGGGTTTGGGAAAGGAGTGCGAGGGGAGGGAGGAAGCTTAATTGAGGAGATAAAGGAGTGTGAATTTACAATTTTATCCACGTTCTTAACGGAAATGTTAACAAAGGACCATTCATGGAAATGAATATAATAATTGGGGACTAAATCAAGGTTTCGAAAGGCAAAAACTAGCCTCGAGGCGGTGGAGCAAAATGCCTTGAGGCGTAAGCCTCGAGGAGGAACGAGAGGCTTCAGTTCAATATGAAAAAATTAATACTAAAGTATGTACACCGAGGTAAAACAAAATGCATGATCCATTTTTGTGTTAAATAAATGATAAAATTATAGTTCCTGAATTTTACAAAAAATATACCCTATCTTAATTTTTAAAACACAAAAAAATAGAATTATAAAGATTAAACACAGTAACATAAACACAAATGTCTCAAACCCATCTTCAAACCTTATAAATATTAAATATGGAGAAAAGTTGACACAAAGAAAAAAGTTACACCATTCTTTGAACTTTGAACCGAATTTAAAAGAGGGAGAGGGATGTTGGAAAAGAAGGAAACGAAAAAATTAAAAGTTAAAAGAAGAAAATGAAAGAAATAGAAATAAGCTATTAAACATGAAGTAATTGCCTTGGCGGCTACCACAATAGTGAAGTTGTGCCACTGAAGTTTGAAGATGGAGAGACGTAAAAGATGGAGAGACGAAATTTGACGCTAAACGGCTAAAGTCTGGGAAAGAAGTGTTAATTATCTACTAGGTTTATTAAGTTTTTCTTAAGAAACTATATAGTGCATTGGCCCAAAAGAGTTTTTGATAAAGAGGCCCAATAGCTTTTTAAAAATAACCCTTATAATTGTTGAAATTCTTATTTAAAGTGAGGCTTACGCCTCGGTTATGCCTTACCGCCTCGGACCGCCTCAACATTGTGAGGCGTACGCCTCAGGTATATCCCTACTGAGGCTTAAGCCTCAGAGGCGAAATGCAACCGCCTCACTGCCTCGAGGCGGACCGCCTCGATCGCCTTTTAAAACCATGGACTAAATTAGTGAGGCGTTGATATGTAGGGACTAAATATGTAAAACGACTTATAACCAGGGACTTTTAATGGAATTTACTCTATTATTAATATTACGTGGTGTGATAGAGTTACTACAAATACTTTTGACACTGATAAAAGGGATTTTTATCATCAGGTATTACACGGACCCATCTGGTACATTCTGGCAATGCAATGCAAAAGCTATAGGTTCGGGTTCTGAAGGTGCTGATAGCTCTTTGCAGGAGCAGTATAATGAGGTACTTTCTGGTTTACTCTTCTCCAAATCACCAATGCAAACCTGTGTTTTTTGACATGTAAAATGCGAAAGTCTTTCAATTGTGATCGGTCTCTTTAGTCCAACTCTTAAGGGATTTTTAAATCCCAGAAAATTCTAGAAAAAAGTGAAAGATTATTTCTCATGCTTGAAGGAAAAACTGGTTTACTCACGAAATATTATAGTTACTTTTGTCGTTATCTGGCACACAAATAAATAAACCGAGTATCAACAAAATCTTAAACAAATTGATCAAGCCATAGCCTCTCTTTTATTTTCTCGGCATTTTGTTTCCTTTCAACTTTCCAGCAGGAGTGTCTTCTTATTTTTTTCCTCTGGTATTTTCTGACTCCGAAAAGGATCCTAAGGCACCTTGTCGTTCTTATGTTTTCAGGAACTCACTCTTAAAGAAGCTGAAACAATAGCGCTGTCCATCCTCAAGCAAGTTATGGAAGAGAAGGTAAACTTAATGTTTTCTTTTTTTTATTTCGATTGTTGTGATGCTTACATAAATTGATCGCCCGACCACCTTAAATGCCCTTTTAAAACTACTAGGTGACACCCAACAATGTGGACATTGCAAGGGTAGCCCCGACTTACCATTTGTACCCGGCATCCGAGGTGGAGGATGTCATCAGTCGCTTGTAAGAGGAGAGAACTCCCACCCATATCTCAAAGTGTTGGACTCGCTCTGCTCGTGTGTCTGTTTCTTGGAATTGCAAACGTTTCCATCTGAACTGTGAAATATTGGTAATTGCATCTTTTTCCTGCAATTTCCCTTGAGATTTGTTCGATTTCGGATTCTATTTTCTTTTTATTGATTGGGTTTGATCCTTTTGACTTTATTTATTGATCACATCTTACTCCAATGAGCTTTCCCCATGTTTTTTTTTCTTTCCACTTTCTTTGTGACACATGAAAGCACGTAAACCAGACATCTGCTGATCTCTAAACCATGCCCTCAATGGTAAACTTTAAGTATTAGAAGAATACAATCCATAGTTTGGTGAAAATAAATTTAACTTCCTCACAAGATTTTGAATGCTCGTACTTGTTTTTTAATCTTATAAATAAACTACACCTCTAAAAGACTAAAAGACTATCGGCTCAAATAAGGGAAGAAGACTAAAGTAGGCATTAAACATTGAAAATTAACCAAAATAGGAGTTTCATGTTTTTATTTCAGAAATAGGAGTTACATTTACATTATCAATCATGACCATGTACATCACGTAAACATGTACAATGTCATTTTATCACAGTGTAAACTCCTATTTAGGGAATAAAAATATGGAACTCTTACTTAAGCAATAAGAACATAGAACTCATATTTTGATACTTTCTCTATGTTTTAGTTCTATTTAAGGTGATTTTTTCTCAAATAATTTGATTTTTTAAAAAGGTCTTATGGTCAAGGACAAACTCCAAATAAATATAATCTCTTTGTCTTAAAATTAAATTCCAATTATGTTTTACGGTGTTTGATTGGATTTACTTTTAATTCAATTTATTGAAAAATTGGTGTATAATTTAAAAATAAAAATTATACTCTTTCCGGCCCACAATGGTTTACTCTTCACTATTTAAAAATAATGGAAAATTTTGTTTATTTTTGTGTTTTCATTGATTATTTGATGAAATAAAATATTCTTGTCACTTGTTTTGTAGAACTTTTAATGTATTTTTTAAATATGCAAGTTTTATTTTATATTTCTATAACAAGATTGAAATAAAATGAATTGTAAAAAATGAGATTTATTTCATTTAACGTAAAGTGTAATTCATTTAGAGATAGAGGGAATATTTAAAAACAAATTCAAGATCTACAAAATTAGATGTGATAAATATATATTATTTCTCAAATTAGTAATAAAAATAACCTAGCATAGTTGATAAAATTTGACTCAGTAAATAAAGAATGAGAAGATAGTTTTAAAACTCCAAGGATTGGAACTAGCACTGGAAGATGACCAGTACAGTCTGGGTTTTAGTCGAATTTCATTCATGTCAGTTCGAGTATGGACCGAGTAATGCACCCTCTTTTTAAGTGCATTGCTCTCGTAGTTTGGGACGGAGGAAGTAATATTTTATGTCAGTATAAACTATCACACTGACACAAAATAAAGATATACACATGTGCTATATAATTTAGAATAAAACTCTTAATGTAAAGTACCTTAATTCTCAAATGAATTAGGGAGCATCAGAAGTCAGAACAAAGATTGTTTTCAAAATCCTTACGTGAATGAGTGACAAGTCAGGTTTGCGGAACTCCGTCAGTTTTTTTGGTGCACATTAAATAGATTCTAAAATGTTTATCATATTATGCAAAACGAACAAAATTTAAAATTTTTAAATTTATTTTATTTAAAGATTAATTAGAAATCACTCTAAATAGGACTAAAACATAGATAAAGTATCAAAATAGGACTTTCATGTTTTTTTTTCTCGAAATTGGACTTTGCACTGTGGTAATGTGATTATCATGTTGTAATCTGGCAGTGTACATGTGTAAATTACTATACTTTTTTGGTAATATATATGACCATGTATGGTAATGTGAGTCCTATTTCGAAAATAAAAATATGGAAGTACTATTTTGATATATTTTCAATGTTTTAGTCCTACTTTGGTCTTTCTCCAAAGATTAATATAGATATAAAAATTAAATGTATATATTTAAAAACGACGTCACAAATTCTTCAAAACAAGGGGTGACAAAAAAAATTTATTTAATCAAATAATCGATGAAAACGTATAAATAAACAAAAGTTTCAATGATGTTTGAATGGTGAACTGTGATAGTATTTTTAGGATGGAGGGAGTACACAGCAAGAAAAAATCAAGGAATATTATTACATATTTAATTGAGTGCGTTGGCACTTAGCATCGATGCTCCAAAGTCCAAATAATTCTCCAGTGGAAAAGTGCAAACCACAAATAAGAGAACAAATCTTTCTCCACGTTTAAAACTTCTGAACAAAGAGAAGGAGCATAAATACATGAATAAACCTAGGGATACACTAAAATGGATACCCATTTGTACACTAGGCAAACATAGACAAACACAGACATTTAGTATCTGTGATCCACGTACACTAAATGTCTATGTTTGTCTGGTGTACTTATGTGTATCCCATTTTTGTGTACTCCTAACATGCCCCTAAATAAAAACCCAACTTTCACACAAATACTTGACGTTAATGAACAAAGAAACCGAGTCAACGGTATTGGTCCATGAATCCTCTATGGAACTCTGTAATCCGGGCAGCAACGGCTTTGATTTTATCTTCCGGGGGCAATATCGTACATCTAAAATGCCACGTCCCACTTTCCTATAATTTATTCACCATCACAGGCAGAAACCAAAAGTCACAATATGTTAAGAAAGAAAAAAAATAAATAAATAGGAGCAAAATATTAGGAAAGAACTAAATTAGGACTTTTATATTTTTATCTCCAAACTAGAGCTTACAATGTCAATATATAATACCAAAAAAACGTTGTGGAACGACAGTGCTACATTGTTACAGTGCAAAGTCTTATTTTGGAGATAAAAAACATGAAGCTCACATTTTTTGGTACTTTCTCTATGTTTCTCCTATTTAGGGTGATTTTTTTAATGTCAACATATAATACAAAAAAAATACTATGGATTGACAATGTATAGTGTCACATCGTCACAGTGCAAAGTCCTATTTCAGAAATAAAAACATGTCACTCTTATTTCAGAGATGAGAGCTATGTTTTACTCCTATTTTGGTTTACTTTATTTTGAAAAAGAGTGGGAATGAATTACCTGTCCAAAGCCGGAGCCGGGGACGAGGACTATTCCTGTGGCATTGAGAAGGAGTTGAACGTAAAATGCATCTGGAGCAGCCTCGGCTGCTTCTGCTGCCTTTATGGCTTTATCAGGGAGACGAAGTCGGGGGAAAAGATACATTGCTCCTTCTGCTCTGTTGCAACTCACTCCTTCCATGCTGTTGAACGCTTCTTCAAGCGTCTGCAATGTCCATTTATCGTTTACCTTAAAATGCGGATATGTGTACTATATATTGTGTCAAGGAATCTAAATGGGATAAAGAGACCTCCAGGTTGATTTGGAAACCTTGTAAAGAAGAAAGAGTGAGGTGGACATTGTGATGTGTATGGGAAGCTGGTGGAAAAGACCGAACTGACCTTCGCACGCCTTGCCAAGGATGAGAGGATTGCTTCTTTCTCACCACAAAAAGACTCGTACGATTCGTCTCCGACCTGTGAAACAAACAGTTGTACTCGTTCGTCTTATATTTATTAGTTGAAATTGCAAGTTTTGTGTCACCAATGCAACATACTTCAGACCGAGCTACTCAATGTGATTACGAAAAATGTTGAAAAAAAAATCCTCCAGAAAAATAATAAATGGATAAAATAAAATACACACACCTTTGGGGGGCTCATGATAAGGCTGGTAAGAATCTGGCCAGGAACGTTGGCACAATGATATATAGTTGAAACTTTGCTCAATTGTTCCCTTATCTCAGGGCTGAATCCAGTGACTTCCATGTAGCCACCTCTCTTTCCACATTCTCCATAGAACCCTAGAAAAAGCCAAACAGAATACATGAACATCTACACTGGCAAAGTGGTCATTTATAAGTATACTATGTCGTTAATGTGAAAACCAAGAGAAGTAAGATAGTAAATTAAGTATGTACCTTTAGATACGGAGTGGAAAGATACCAAAGAAATATCGTTTTCTCCATAACCCATGGACTGGGCAACTTTCTTGAACGAATGGAATTGTTTCTCGGCCACATACACATTGTCTTGGTATACCTAGTACCAAAGTTGAACAGACTCACAATTCTAATGGCCACAAGGATACAAATCTCCAACTCTTATTATATGTAAATGCCCTATATTTGATTAAAAAACAATATATGCACCTCATCGGCCAGAAGCAGAAGACATTCCTCCTTGCAGAAATGTACAAGTTCCTTCTGGTCAGCCTCAGTAAGAACCTGTAAGCAAACATAAGTGATTAATGGATCAAATGAAGAAATTAGGACATGTTCTTCTTTATTATTACCTGCCCTGTAGGGTTTCCGGGATTGATCACAACCAAAGCCTTGACATTAATTCCCTCAGACGTGGCAGTTTCAAGCTGCTTCTTAACCTCTGAGATCTCAAGTCCCCATCCATTTGCCTCGTCAAGATAATAAGGAACCTATACACGTCCTCTTTAGGTCCCTCCACAAAAGACAAACTAAATTGCGGGATTGTCTAATTTGAGTGATAGAACATACGAGAGTGCCACCGTAGAGAGCAATCAAAGCAGAGTAGAGTGGATACTGAGGGATGGGACACAAGATTCCATCCTTCTTGGAACTAATTAATAAGTGCATCATCGTGTGAATCTGGGTAAAATGTTGAGTTTGAAAACATCCCAAAATAAGGTTGCGAAAGAAGAATAAAGTTAGGGTAACCCCAACACTTTGAGGTTACAATGACCCCATGCTTTATACAGACACACACACACACACATGCAATAACTGTCGGCAGTTATTGCCTATGTATGTCTATGCAACGCATGGGTCATTGTAACCCCAAAATGTTGGGGTTACCCTTGCACTTATTATGCCTTGGGGTTCTATCCTTGAAGGTTAACCTTATAGGAGTAGTACCCCAAGGCTTCATTTATTGAAATGTATAAATATCTACCGCTGGGCCTGCACCATCTGTCAAGAAAATATTGTTTGGATTGGAAGGGAAACCATCACGAACTTCTATACCAGAAGCAATTGTGTCACGCAATCCTTTGATGCCCTATACATATATTTAGTTAAACACTGGAATTCAATATATATCATGATATCTAAGAGACCGTGAAATGAGAAGCGTCTCGGATAAGTAAAACTAGACCTGATCATGGCTATATGCACCAGTTGCTCTTCCTGGAATTTTGTCAAGTATCTGCAAGGCCCTGTCTATGGAGTCCGCGCTGCAGAATGCGTGGAAAAAACAATAGTCATTTCTTAAGAGATTGCACTTCCTGGGGGTTGTTTAGTACTTCAATCGGAACAGGACTCGGTATATCTCAAACCTGAACATTCCCTTAGTTTCACTCATATCCAAAATGCGAGGATGGTCACACAGTGCAAGCACCTGCCAGAAAATAGGTTTTTAGACAACTGATAATCTCAAGTGTCTTTAATCGTTTACAAGTTGACATTACATGCTTGCAAAGAACAGTACATTATCAAGTATAATCACAAAAAAAGGATTTCCTCTCCTCAACAGAGAAACTTTCTAAGGAAAAATTCCCCTGTTTGCTTACAAGAGAAAAACAGTTCCCCTTGTACCAAACATGACTAAGAATCTTATGGCACGAGAGTAATAAACTTGTGGTTACCTCCCTAAAGAAAGTAATCGGTGGCTGACCAAAGGCATGAGGATTCCCAATATTGCAATAAAGTATCTGCACATATTGGCAGACAGAAAATTAGATATAGATTATACAAAAAGTTACTCTATATTCCGGAGTATTAAAAACCCATTAGAAACTAGATATAAAACAAATAAATGCTCATGCATGATTACATCTTTGAAGCATTTGGTTGAAAACAGAGGGTTATGTACCTCATCAAATGGATGAGAACCAGGTTTTGCCTCAAGTTCTTCTTGCAGTTTCTGTCAAAGAGTATTTACAATGGCCACTCAGATTTGAATATATTGAATTAGCGGCAGGAAATTAATAGTGCAAATTTTAAAGCATAAAAAAAACTCCGTATGTTAATGCAAAAAGAAGAAAAGAAGCATCATATCATTTCGAAGTCTTAGGTTCCCGTGGCAACTTCTTTTGAAGAGATTTATTCCTATCACTCTGGCGCCCATTACATTGGATTTCAATGTCACGGGATGACATTGCCTCCAATTGTAGCACCTATGGGCCGGATTCGTAAAATTTATGGTTCCTACCATATAACTCCCTGGTTAGTCAGGTAAACCCCCCATCCTGATCTGACCCGAACCCACCTATTCAATTGCACCCTACAAATTTAGTTGACTTTAGGGTCAAAATCATTAACATGCTCTAAAGATGGTGGCTCGTTGGAGCTGACAAAATCATGAAGTGTGGTCATTATTGTTGATGGTAACAAACTATAGGATCAATGTTCATTTGCGGTTATTAGGCTCTCATACCATTTCAAGGCTCGGAATTCAATCTTAGAATCTCAAACTTATAACATGAGGGTCGATGTGCTAGTAGCAAAACGATACTCCTTCCGTTCAAATTTAACTCATGATTATGACTTTTGTGATACATCAAAAGTTGAATGAACAGAAGTTACAGAACAGAGACATGTTTCACGTCTACAATCATTCAAATGTATATTTACCTGAGCTAGGTAGTAAATTTCTCCACGAACAGCATACTCAAATTCCAAAACCTGAAAACAAGTACATTGTATCCCAATAATCCAGCCCCAACCCAAATTATGTAAATGTACAGAATAATTTTGAATAATTTTTACTCGTGCAGATTAACTATGAAAATGCGAAAACTTAAAATGATAGCCTTACATTGGGATTGATGGTTTGAACAGTGATGCGTTTGGATGAATGATCAGAAGCCGCCATGGAACCCATGTGATTTAGGGTTTAAGAAAGGCTCGTGCGTAACTGAAACTCTGAATTCAGCCAAAATGGCGAATCCACAGTTCACGAGTTTTCCTCGTGCTTGTTTTGCCGTACAATTCTTTCCATAATAATGCGAGTAATAATAATGGTCCAGGTGACGTACATTGATTGGCACTTGGCAGGCATACCTACCATTAAAAAAATGTGACTATATTTGAAAAGGATGATGCTAGGGGTACCCCAAATGTCCTTCACTCCCTTCATAACCATACATTTTTATTTTATTTTTATTTATTTATTTTTTTAATTTTCTTGCCCTTTTTTTGTGGACAACGAGGGGGTGGGGGACATTTGGGGTACACCTTTGATGTACCTCTAGCATTTTCCATTTGAAAATGGCCGAGAATGCTGGAAACCCACTGCCCTTTGAAAAAGGCCGGTATTATTTACGATTATATCGGTCCGATTTTAATATATAAAAATTTAAAAAAAATAGTCTAAACTAGCTAGTCTAGTCTTCGTATATAAAATTTTAGTTTAAGTGGACCGGATAGTCCCTTTAGAATCGGTCGAGGTCTTAATTTGTAAAATTTTTAAATTTTTTTCTTCAAAAAAATACTCGTAAAAAAATCTTATATTTGATTATTTAATTTATTTTTTTCAATACTTTATTAATTTATAATAGTTATGAAACATGCATATTATTATATGAGATGGAAGTTAGATAGAATTAACGAAAAAATAAAATGAATATGTATGTTTTATAGATATGAAATTTTTTTCTTATCACTTATTTGTAAATTCTTAAATAAAATTTTGTAATGTGCTATGCTTCATAGTTCATATTATTCGGATAAACATATTTACATACAAATTAAATTTTAAAGGACATAAGAATACATTATATCTCTATTCCTAGTCCAGTTCCGGTATAGTATTTCATAAAAATCAAGAACCAAATGAGACTACAGGTCCAGACCGGCCTCAAAGACCACATCGGTCCCATCTTTTATGTTCCCAATCTCAATTTATCCTGATCAATACTTTCGGTCGTAGTCTTTATGCTCACCAGTACAAATCCATTTTTCATGCATAGGTGCGGGGTGGTGGCATTGTAACACGATCTCACCCTACAAATCCATTTTTCTTTGAGGTGAAACTCATTCATTTGATATCAAGTAATTCATATGTGTGTGTGTGTAAACGATGAGCCTCATCCTCAAGGTCCCCTCAGACTAGATCGAACGATTACTGAGAGAAGCTAAATTAAATATTGATCGTTGATTATATAATTATTATTGTTTGTGACGGCTAAAAAATCATTGCCTATACATATTTATAAAACACTTGATGTCAAATGTTATGGGCTTCTAGCATTTTTTTAATACTAGTATTCTACCCGTGCCACGCACGGGACCGAATAAAAAATTTTGTCGATTCAAAAGTTCTTTTAATGTAATATTTTTTCTGAATTAAAGAAAATATACTTCTCGCATGATTTTTAATACTATAGACAAAAAAACCAAAATGGACTAAATAATATTTTAGGAATTGAATTTGTACACAATAAAATAATACTCCCTCCGTCCCATAAAGATGATTACATTTTGACTAAAATAGAAACTAAGGGAAAGATAATTTTGTGTTGACTTTCCAAAAATACTCTTGATATGATTGGTAAAAGTATGATGTAATGTGTAGATTATTAGAAAAAAAGTATGATGTGATAGGTAGGGTTTGAAAAAGTAAGGGGTAAAAGTGGTTTTTTAATACAAATGGGTAAGAGATTGTGGGACGCAATTTTTTTGAAACGTGTAAATCTTTTTGGGACGGAGGGAGTATTTAACACAAAATTTTCTAAAAAACTTCAAAGTATACAACATTTTTAGTATGGTTGCAAAAGTTTTCATTGTTATCTAGAACCAATATTTTTAAGGCATATTTGGGAATAACGTTAGAGTTTAGAGTCAGAGGTTAGAGTTAGAGGTTAGAGTTAGCTATTAGTTGTTCGCATCAAAGTTAATGATTAGCATTTTGCTTTTTTTTCGTTTGGTAATTGAATTTTTAAAAGTTAATAAATTCCAAATTACTAAAATACCCAATTGGATTTTCACAATTTAAAATTTAAAAATTAGTTGAGTTTAAAAGTTGGTCCCTAAACGATGTTGATATATAATAATAATAATAATAATAATAGTATTTTGCCCATGCCACGCACGGGGTTAATCAAAATTTTATCGATTCTGTGAATTATCTTCAATGTAATATTTTTAAATGAGTTTATGAAAGTGTATGCAATTCGTTCTTTATAGACATTAAAATCAAAATAAAATAAATAATTTATCATTTCATATTTGATAATGAAAATGCTCATATATAAATTCAAAAGCAAACACGTCAAGTCTTTCTTAAATTCATACTTTTTAAATACCATTTGAGAATATAGCATATTTGTTGTGGTAGCATGGTTTCATTATTATTTAGAATTAATATTTTTTACCCAAATGGCACCCTCTCATAGAATGACTGTGATATTTATACTTTGGTACCCGTGCGTTGCACGCCAAGAATATTCTCCAAATCATATGTAATTTATATATCAATATTATTTTGTTATAATTATTTAAATTAATATGTATGGGATTTGAATAAAGAATAATTGAGTATATGCAAAATCATGTTTAAACCATGGAAATAGGAGACTACAAACCCAAGAACAGTTCCACTTTGAAATCGTACATTGTCATTGTGTATAAAAAAAAGAATCATTAGATCATAATCTTTAGGAGGGATAGCTCAAAGTCTAAAAGTCCAACTTCAAACCCCTTTTCAAGATGTCGTATAATGTGCTAAAGATTCTCATCCTTCAAACCAAACAAAAAAAAATGATAATCTTGAAGAACTATAGATATGTTTTTAATCTTAACACTAAAGGAAGCCACACTGGTTATAATGTTTACTTAAACATCAAAATAGATTCTTTTAATTTAAAATTGTTTTAAACATACCTAAAGAGTAAATTACTTCTTAAGCAAGATGTGTCTCTTCTTGGCATTGTACTCCAAATTTAAATGTAGAAACAAAAAATATAAATTCAACATGATTACCACTTATCTAAGCATCAACATATATGACCAATAAAAGTTCACAATTCTCAAACCAAGAAACTTTGTGTGCTTCGTTTCAAGTACTTCGTATTATTCTACACTAAATATCATGTTCGAAGCTATACTAACATGCGTGTTTAGTTTCTTTTCAAGAAATATTTTAAACAAATCACTACGTAATATTAGGTCATAAAAAAATTTAGGTTGCTTATGGTTCACAAAGAAAACTGCCAGAGAAACATATAAATAAAATAAACTCAATTAAATTCCACAAAAGTAAGTAGGTAGGTACTTGTTATAAAATCATTGTAAATTTTTTACATTAGTTTAACCATATTTTGACCAATTGCCGTAATATTGCAATAAAAAGATTTATACAAACAAAATGAAGTTGATGCCTACATGTTTGGCAATGCCAAAATTTGCAAGCTTAATTGAAAATAAAATCCTAGAATAATGCCAACTTGTCTTAATTCTAAAAGATGATTAATCCAATAGTGTATATCATTTTCTACTGGTAAAAAATGTTACTTTACCCTCTGCTCTCCCTAGCTAAATAGATGCGACCAAAGTTTCTTCTCTCAAGCGGCCTTCTAATGTCAAAATAACTGAGAGCCCATCTCCTTTTCTCATCACTCGCGCCTTCATGTAGAACCTGTAGACATAAATACATTAGCACATCCTGAGACCAAGTCACAATAACAAAGTTAACTTAAAGATTGCGCAAACTCACTGTAAATTTTAATTGTTTTAATTGAGTGTAGAACATTGCTAAAAAATTTCATTGGTCTTGAACTCGAAGTTCTAGTGAATATGCCTCCCCAAAGCAAAACAAAGAGAAGATAGGTTATCTCTTAGGCCTTCAGACTTAGAACTCTATAATAAATCAAAAATAAAAATTACAACATCATCACAAATCTTCATACAATAACAAAATGGAAGACATAAAATTTGAGAATAAAAACATGATTTGATCCCCGAAGTATATAAAATACTCATAATTGCTAAAGTTGTTTACTGAGTTTAAGAAACCCAAGGAAATGTCACATATAATCTCATTCTATGTGTGTTCTGTTTAAAATAATTAAAGAGAAGTTTCCTACTCTATCTTTCTATATATAATGCTTAGATCCTCTTTGGAACAGTGTTCCCGCCAAAACTAAGCTTCCTTCATTGGGCCGAAATTCCGACTGGGCTATAGAGGGCTGGGCAATGGGCTGTGTCAAATCACATTGGGCATATCAAAAAAGTAAAATCAGCTGTGTCAAATCAGATGAGTTGTCATGTCATTCTTTATTAAAGTGGTGCGCCTATCTATAAAGTATAAAAAAGGGGTTGTGTGGCTCCATAAACCAAATCTATTACAATCTAATCCATTATTACACTTACACACCATCTAATAATCTATTACAATCCACTTGCACCATTACACATACACTCCGTATATATATATATTGACCAGCAAGCTTTGCATAATGTACACATGAGTGCTAGCAAGTAAACAAAAAAAAAATTACAGTCCAGAATATTAGGAGTGCGAACCATGTTTGCTCCAATTGCGTCTCTAAACAACACTAAAAAAACTTGGATTCTCATGTTAAGGGTTGTGCGCGTTTACTTTGTTCCGAAGTGGGCTAAAGGCGGGGATTCCATGGAGATCATATTTCACGATGAACATGTATGGTATTCTCCAAGTTTTGTATTGCATTTTTTGAATTATTATTATTAAATTTAATCTCAATATCTCACTTGCTTTTTTTTAAATAGGGAACGAGGATTCACGCTCATCTCAACCGACCCGAAAAAAATAAATTTGCAAATCAAATCACCGAGGGGGTGTTTTTGCCATTCGAAATGTTTTTGTTCATGATAACTACCAAAGTTTGAAAACCACTTCAAATGATAAGCTTTTAGGGTTTTTCGAAGACACTGAAGTGAAAACTTTGTGTCGGCTGGATTTTCCAACTTTCATGCTTGACCTCAAGTCATTTCCAGATGTTCAAAGCCAACCATGTTTGAATGATCAGCTCTTAATTGGTATTACTTTTTAAAAAAAATTTACCACAAGCCATTGTTTACCCTCTTTGAAAATCGTGAAATATTAACGCAGATGTGATTGGAAAGATAGTGGCTCGAACAAGTGTTCAAACAAACTCAAGGAGAGGCTCTGAACAGAAATTGATGGAAGTTACCCTAGAAGATCATGAGTATGACTTGATAATTACAAAAAATGAACATGATATAAATAAATGGCACATTTGGATTACCTCTATTACGCAATCTTACAGGGGAAATCGTTTGGGTTGCACTCTATGGGGAGAATACGTAGACCGATTCATGGATTGTTTGACCCAAAACAACCAAGAACCAGTTATCATGGTTTTGAGCTTTTGCCGCCCGAGGCGCTATATGGGTAAGCAATATACATTTTGTATTCATATCGAAAATTGAAGATGATTGAAATCTAATTTTTTCCCCATGTTTTGCAGGGACAGTTACTGTCTCTACTGCATTTCACGTTACCAAGATGANAATTCTCCCGAGGTTGAAGATTTTAGGGCAAGGTATATTATTTCTATCTAAATATCGAATAATACATGTCTATAAGAAAAATTTACTTATGTAACGTATTGTAACTTTCACGCAGGTTGCCTCCACAAGTGGATGACGGAATGGGAAGCATTGTTTTGAGCAGTGGAGATTCTGGGGACCAAGGTGTCATCAAAACAACCACTATCAAAGATCTTTTGGAAAACATGAAGGTAAATACGATGCTTTTAATATTATAATACCCATATTAATGATACCGTGTTTTATTTAATAAAAATTATAATATTTTTTTTGACAGCCTGGGCCTTATTGGATTCTCGGAGAAATTGCATCACTAAATGATTCAAGTAATTGGTGTTACTTGGGTTGTACTGAGTGTAACAAGAAGGTCATTCCGGATGGTGATAAGTTCAAGTGTTCGGGTTGTGCAGTTACTATACCGCATGGGGTTTATAGGTAAACAATCATGCATGTAAAAAATAACACAACAATATATTCATATTATCTTTTGAATTGAAATAATAATCACGCAGATAAATCTTTATTTAATAGGTACAAGGTCAGTGTTCGAGTCTATGATCACACCGGTCATGCTTCATTCTTGCTTTGGGACCGAGAGTGTAAAGAAGTCTTGGGTGCAAGTGCGTTTGTTTTGAGAGAGATTATGATTGAGGTTTGTCAACACATTTTTTCCAAATTTTTTTTCTTATGAAGTCAGTGTATTCGCTAAATGACAAACTAATTTTATTCTTATTCTAAATTTTCCAGAAGGACATGGACCCAAACTTCCTACCGCTAGAACTTAATGGCTTCATTGGTCGTAAAGGTTTATTCCATATTTTGTTGAAGAACGATGTTGGGAGTCCAAGTTGGACTGGACCAAGAACTTTCGCGGTGAGATCTTTGGTTACCGACCCAAAGATCTTGAGCAAGTATGAACATTTGGTTGTGATTGAAGATGAAGAAGCAGACAAAGAAAGCGAAGGTCTATGGGCATCTCTTGAGGATTTGAGTCAGAAAGTGCATGAAGTGGTAAATTAAATAAATAATTAATTCTTTCCTTAAGCCACGTTATTCCTATGGAGGAGCTAATTTTTTCTACTCTTATAGATTGGTTCCAATAATCCAAGCTCTAGCCAAAGTGTCAACTCCAAGCAAAAAAGGATTCCCGGTCTGGACGAGAATGAAGCCGTGAAAAGGGAGCTGTTTGATGAAATCTCAACAAGTGCAAGCAAGAAAATGAAGAAGGAAACTGCTAGAGACTGAAATTCCGACTCATTGGGGTTGAAAATCAATGTTTTTTGTTTCTTTGAACACCCTATCTGTTTTGTGTTGTTGTGTGTTTTGTTTTGAAAAGTCTGTAAGGGGGTTTACTTTTGAGGTTATCAACATTTTTTGGATATTGTTTTGGTTGTAACCTCCGAAACTTATTTTATTTGAAGTTTTTGGCCGTCATAACAGAATTATTGCACTATAAATATTTAAATTACGTACAAGTAATCGTTGGATTTTGATATCGGGTACTTAATACTAATTCAATGCCTTTGCTGAGATAATTATACAGCATGAATATACGGACTATGTTAGAAATAACATCAAAACGGATAGATATCAAACTGCCATAAGAAAAAATAAATGCACACTTCCAAACGGGTATAGCAAAGTATATATATATATATATATATATATATATATATATATATATATATATATATATATATATATATATATATATAGACACACACACACAGCCAGAAATTAACTGTTTTTAACAAAATTATGACACGCAAGATTACAGCAGATTGGGATTTAAACATTGTCATTTATTACATTGAATAATGTAATGGGCGTGTGGCTCAAGGTCTGGGGCTCAACGTGGATGATTACATTTTCAGAATCTAATTTGATTGTAAGACTCCATACACGCTGCCCATAATCATTAAGTTAGATGTAACATAAAATAATTAAAATACTACTTATATTTTATTGAGTTCTGGTGTAATAAGAAATATCATTTTACACTGTCATTCCTTATGCTTTAAAAAGAATATGAATTTAATCGTTAAATTAAAAGTCGTGGAGTGTGATTTGGTATCGTCCAACTATGATGTTGCTTGAATTTTTTTAAATCGGGAACGGTTTTTAAGTATGGGCTCGCATTCATATAGAGTCGTGATTTGCTATTGGGCCTAGCAATATGCCGTCGACGTGGTTATTTGGTTGTCCATGGAAATGGACAGCCCACACCTACACGAGCACGCCAACATGGATATGGCCCAAAATATGTGATTTACACTACTTATAAAATTTTATTCTAACCCAATATATATAACATTTGGGGAACTTAACTTTTATGAAAAATTTAAAACAATACATAATGTATTACAAAATTAACTTTTCACTTTACACACGCCTAGATATGTATAGGCTAATTAAGTACTTTGCATTAAATGCATCCCATACACAATGACAGCCCATGCCTAGAGTCACACGCCTTCATCAGTTCCAGCGCAATAAATGTCAATTACCCATCACCATTGAACTAATTTAAACATTTTAAATTAACAATTGATAACCAAATTCTTTTTTTATTTCTTAAAAATAACATACTAGAATTTTGTCTTCAGAACTAAAAAAAACAATTCAAAAAGTATTTAATCTTCGAATCCTTAAAAGTAATATTTTAATATTTTAAACTTAGAGTAAATTAATTTTATGAATAAAACTAATATTTTAATACATATAAATATATGTGTGTGTATAATATTATCTATTCATGTTAAAAAATTATAATTTTTTAGTGCCAGTAACATATTTGCTAAAATGACACTAAATTAAAATATAATGTCAGTAGATTAAAAACTACTTGCTCAAAGTAGATCCGCACGCCTGTGCCTGGCATAGTCTCAAATATCAATCAAGTATAATGAATTAAGTGCAGGCCATTATATTAGAGTATCCCACGCCTGACCGAGTTACCCGACACAAGATCCAGGCCATTAAATGCAACTTCTTATCAACACTTAAGTTATTTGAATAATAAAAAAAAACAGCAAATAAAGGATTTCATGTTTTGACCCAGGATAAAACATACATTTAATGGAAGGTACATTCCTTCAAAATAAAAATAATTTTTTATAAACTACATTTAGTGGTTTTTTGTATGGCAGTTTTTAAAACAATTATTAATTTTTAGTTCCAAGTATGGTTTTATACATACATACATAGATAAAGTAAAATGATTGGGATGCAAAAAAAAATATATACATACATAACTACTAATAGTTTTTTTTAAATAATTGAACTATTTCCAATATATTTGCGATTATGATGCACAGATTTAGTCTTGAGTGAAGATCAAATAAAGAACTACGCCTTGATCGAGATAGAGTGCTTATTGAGGATGCGAGCAAAGAGCCTTCGAGATTTCATTGACATGCCATTTCCTAAATTAGATGCTGCTTCTACATCTCGGAACAGACTAATTCTTGACGAATTGAATTATGATCCCCTTGCCTTAAAGGTAGAACATCAAAGGATGATGAGGGAGTTGAACAACGAACAACGTTTAGCTTATGAAACAATAATGGCGTCTGTTGATGAGGGTCAGGGGAAGGTCTTTTTCGTTTACGGATATGGCGGAACTGGAAAGACATTTGTTTGGAAAACTTTGTCCGCCTCCATACGTTCAAGGGGACATGTCGTGTTAAATGTTGCTTCAAGTGGTATTGCATCGCTATTGTTACCAGGTGGAAGAACTGCTCACTCTCGATTTGGAATTCCAATCATTCCTCATGAAAATTCCACATGCAACATTAAACAAAAGACACCATTGGCAGATTTATTGGTTCAAAGCAAACTTATCATCTAGGATGAAGCTCCAATGACCCATAAATATTGTTTTGAAGCTGTAGACAGAAGTTTACGTGATGTGATGAGTGTGGTCGATCGAGCTAATTCTGATCTACCATTTGGAGGGAAGACAATAGTTTTTGGGGGAGATTTTCGACAAATACTTCCAGTGATTCCTAAAGGAAGAAGACAAGACATTGTCAACGCTACAATTAATTCATCATATCTGTGGAAATATTGTACAGTTCTACGTTTGACAACCAACATGCGTTTGCAACACATGGCTCGCGATGATAATTTTGAGGAAATGTTAGAATTTGCAAAGTGGATTGCAAGTATCGGCGATGGACTGGCTGGGCAGAAAAACGATGGGATTGGTGAGGTTATTATGCCCGATGATTTGTTGATTAAAAGTACCAGTGATCCGATTCTGTCTGTTGTGAATTCAACTTATCCAGACTTTCACAATATCGCGGTTGATCCGACTTATTTGCAAAGCAGGGCAATCTTGGCACCAACCTTAGAAGTGGTTGATGAAATCAATGAATACATGACCTCATTGAACCAAATAGGCGAAGCTAAAAGTTACTTGAGTTCAGATGCGGTGTGTAAATCCGATTCAAATTCGGATTTCTTAAGCGACATGCATTCTCCTGAATTTTTAAATAACATCCGAGCTTCTGGGATCCCAAACCATGAATTGAAGTTAAAGATTGGGACACCTGTGATGTTGCTGAGGAATATAGACCAGTCTTCAGGTTTGTGCAATGGAACAAGGTTGATCGTTACACGACTTGGCAATCATCTAATTCAAGGCAAAGTCTTGACAAGGAAAAATATTGGCCAAGAAGTTGTTATCCCCCGATTGTTGTTTACACCGTCGGATACAAGAATTCCCTTTAAATTTCAAAGAAAACAGTTTCCGATTATGATATCTTATGCTATGACGATTAATAAAAGTCAGGGACAATCATTGACGCATGTTGGGCTGTTACTAAAGAAATCTGTGTTCAGTCATGGACAACTTACAACTTTACGTGGCATTATCACGAGTCACTAATCGCAGTGGATTAAAGATTTTGATTGTTAGTGAAGATCCTGAATCAGCGAACAAAACAGCAAATGTCGTCTACAAAGAAGTTTTCCAAAACTTATAGTTGTATTTTCCCTCATTATGCATTGCTGTAAAACGCATTCTCTTTAAAGTATATTATGTATCTTTAGTATAACCAAATTAATCTCTTAATTATATCAATGCTTCTCCTAATTATATAATTTATAATTAGGCCGTGCAACGCACGGGTTCGAGTCTAGTATGTCTAAAATAAATATTTAAGGTGATGAATTATGTGGGAAGAAATGGCTAGAATTAGTGAACGAACAAAAATTATCATCATCATTTAGAATCAAACGCGTACAATAAGGATTAAATTTAATACAATAAAAAAATGATCACCAAGTTCGTAGTTGTATAATTTAGGGATTAAATCTGGTATTATTCATATAATTATCTAGGTCATAAAAATAATATAATTTTTGTGCAATGTAAATATGAACTTGTTTTTCAAAGAATACAGCACCCTACATATGACAAATTTTCATAGAGAAATTACCATATGAAACTCCATATTGTTGTTTGAGATGTGCCATTGTCCATGCCCTCGTCATGGGATCCATCAAACATTTGAACCTATGATATCAAAATATGTAAGCCTTGAGAACCAAATATATTTTTTTAAAAAAAATTATAATGAATAAAGGAAATGATGTTATAGCTGTTTATACATTCACGCCATAAGGTTCATACTTGATGAAATAGTGATTTTTGTATCAATGCCATTGAATAAATATATCAATTTATTTAGAAATGAAGATTTAAAGGGAACCGAGATTACAATTCAACTATCTTGTCTAGCTGCTTCAACCTCCCTTTTAGTTGTTTTCAAAAATCTATGTTTGAGAAAATTAATTCAAAAAAATGAATAAATTTTTTTCTACCTCGATTAAACACTTTTCTGCAATCTATCAAAGATTCCGCAGGTGAAGCACCTCCATAAATTTACCATTCTTCTGGTTCTTGCATGTAGGACATTGCTAAAATTTTACATTGGGACTGAACTGGAAGAAGGTCTAGAGCAAAACTACTGTGCAAAGAATGAACCCCAAATCAAAATTGAACTCTTTCATCCAAAAATCCTAGAAATCAATTTGAAAAATAATGATTAGGAAAAAACTTAACGTTGATGTCTTCGACGTCGTCTTGGATGTCGTAATTTCTGATTAGTGCTCAAATTCCTCTCCCTGAAAACTTCAAAACATGGAAACTTAGATCTTGAAGTTTAAGGGGGACTCGGCGAGGGTGATAGCAACGAACACATCTGTGTTGAAGCAACCGGACAACGAAGGTTGTTTGAGTGAAGCCTAGACAAAAAGTTTGGCTTAGCCTCTGGCATAAGCCTCTTTGACCTTTATCTGCTGGCATATGGAAACTTTTGCATATGGACAGAGAATCACGCAGAATTTTTGCATATGGAAATTTGTCCTATAGCGAAGAACAAATCCAGTTGGAGAAAGAAGGCGAATATTTTACTGAAGGGTTCCGTGAATCAATCGAAGAAGTGATAAGCGAGAGAGAGACGCGTGTAAAAAACTGCCACATGTCAAATTACTACAAATCAAACTCTCAAATTTTATATCAAAGGATATATATATATATATATATATATATATATATATATATATATATATATATATATATAAACAGAATGCAGAACAGGGTTTCATACCACATGAGTTCAGCAACTTGTGAAAGCAAAATGAAGAATTGAGTGGAGGTCAACTTGTGTATGATACTAAGAATAGAGAGCATTGACTTGTGAGATACCATGAAAACAAAGGCAGCTATCTCCTCTGCATCTAATACTATTTAGGAGCCTAAGTTCAATGATAACTTTATATGAAAGTCCAAATCTCCCCAGCATACACACACACACACAACAACAACAACAACAACAACAACAACAACAAATGAATCAATATATGAATTTAACAAAAAAAATTGGATTACGATCGAGCCAAAAATCTGGGAACAGGATCAGGAATAAAATTAATTACTCTCGATTCTTGAATAGTTGATGCATATGATTTTAAGAAACATACCTCTGTTTGACGCTTCGAAAATTTTGGATCCGAAATACCTTTTTTCACAAAATTGGAGACTTTCCTTCATTGATAGAGCTATACAATTGGAGACTTTCCCTCTGAGAATTTGTCGTTGTAGAAGAATAGACGCAAGAAATTGCTTGATTTCGGCGAAGGATCAATAGCCCTGGAGAAGAAGACTTGGGTATGGCGAAGAACAGAAGAGGACCTATTGGAAGTACCGGTGGGTTTTCCGTGAAACCTATTCGACGAATAGAAATGTCGGGAAGATGAGAGAAAGAATCGGTACTGGGGCTTCAGCTAATAATTGGATGCTTGTGATCATTTATAACTCTCAAATATTATATTAAAGAGGATACTATTTTCATCCCAAAAATAATTATTCTCATTTACTAAAATTTTACGAAAATTGAAATTATATTGTAGAAATTTATATAGAAAGAAGCTAAGAGATATAATGCGAAGTACTCTTTTTTCCCTAAATGAAATGAGAACTTTTTTGAGATGGCTAATGTAAAGCACAAATTTTACTCCGCATTTATGTATAGAGAGAATACTTTCTCTATCTAAAAACTAAAGTCTCCGATAATGATACTTGACAAATTAATTTTTTTAATTTAGTTTATTTAATAGTACAAAGTTTTAAAATAAAGGTTATTAGAATCACATCAAATAATTTACTTTGTATAAAAAAGAGTTAATAAGATCATCCTACTTTAACAAGTGATTAATAAAATTAATCACAGAATAACAAAAACGGAGTAAAAAAATTTGATATGTAAATAGTCGGTAGTATGGAGGGAGTGCATTCTTTAGCCTAGTGTGTTTTTTTAAGGTACTTCTTACTTCTCCAATCATTTAGATACAAAGTAACGACTAACATTTTGGACTGAACAAAATCATGTGGTGAATTAACTTTTTGAAATTACTCCCTATCAAGGGCACATTCATGTTGTCACTCATATTTGTTATCGGTAATGTTACTGACTATTGACTTTTTGGAGTATCTGCAGTGCTATTAGTATTGTCTAAATCATATTCTTCCACTATACAATTTTAGGTGTGGATAAAATTAGAGAATGAATAAGGAATGTATGGTGAGAAAAGTCGTGATGTACAAATTTGATGTATACCGAGCGTTACTCAGAATTGTCAAAGAATAATTTTTCTGCCGACCAAATAAAATTAAAATTTTTGTTTCCTTAAACTTTTTTTTGGTTTGCTTAGTATTTTCATGGCCTAATAGCTCCGGTGCCCCTTGTGGTTTGGAAAATTGGCACCAATACCCCCTCTATTTTCAAAACTCATTTCTAAAGTCCCTGTGGTTTCAAAACGTTGCACCCACACCCTCTCTGATCATTTTCTGTCCATTTTCTGGCAAAGAGAAGGCATTGGCACATAATTTCTAAACCATAGGGGGCACTCGTGCTCGTTTCTTATTTTTCATTTATTATTTGTGTTTTTCTTTCTTTTTCCTTTTCCTAGATTTTTTTAAAAATTTCTTTTCAACTTTTTATAATGTTTTAAAATTTTTTAAAATTCTTTGTGTTTGAACTAATAAAAACATTAACATACATTACATCTATCTCAAAAAAAACATTTTCACTTTTTCTTACATAGAATAATTTTTTTGGAAAGTTCAAAAAGAAAACCCAAAATAAAAATATGGGAAAACGAAATGAAAAAATTAAAATACGAAAAAAAGAGTCTTCTACAAAAAACAATTTTGGAACACGCCTAAAAATATCCTTAAAATTGAGATGTCCAAAAAGGATAATCATTTTTTGTCTCTTATTTTATTCATCATTTTTTAGAAGTTCTAAAAAAATTCCTTTTTTCGGAAAAAACAAAAATTGTTAATTTGAGACGTGCCGATGCATTATATGTTAATTTTTTCAAACAAAAATAACTTTAAATTTTAAGAACATTATAAAAGTATTTGTAAAATAACCTTTATTAATAAATGAAACAAATGAAGGAAAAAATGGGAAAAAAGAGAGAAATAAAAAATCAGCACTAGCACCATGGTTTAAAAAATATGCACGAATGCCCCCCTTCTTCGCCGGAAAAATGACCGAAAAATGATCAGAGGGGGCACGGGTGCAGCGTTTTGAAACCACAAGGACTTTAGAAATAAGTTTTGAAAACAGGAAGGGTATTGCTGCCTATTTTGCAAACCAGGGGGGGTACTGACGCTATTTGGCCGTATTTTCACAAATAAGTTGTCCCAAACACACACAATAATTTTATTGCATCTCCACTGGCTAAAGAATTAGAAATCATCCTAAATAGGACTATAACATAGAGAAAAGTACCAAAATAAGACTTTCATGTTTTTTCCCGGAATAGGACTTTGCACTGTGGTAATGTGACTTTGCATTGTGGTAATGTGGCAGTGTACATGTGCAAATTACTATACTTTTTTGGTAATGTATATGACCACGTTTAGTAATGTAAGTCCTATTTCAGGAATAAAAACATGGAAGTCCTATTTTGGTATATTTTCAATGTTTTAGTCATACTTTGGTCTTTCTCCCCTAAAGAATCTCATTTGGGACCCCACATTACCTTTTGGATGCTACTCCCTTGGTCTGGAAAAAAATCGTAATTAACTATTCAAAAATTATAAAAAAATTTGTTTGTTTTTCTATTTTCATTAATTTTTTTTATAAAATAAAATATTCTTGTCAAATTTAATTTTGTAAATTTTTTGAAGCAGATTTTAAATGTGTAAGCCAAATTTTTTATATCTATAAGAAACTTTAAATAAAATTAATTAAACAAACTTAAAATTTCACTTTATCTTGCATAATGTATTGTTCTTTTTAGAACAAAGAATAATAAATTATACCCCTCCGTCTTGAATTAATTGATACAATTCGACTTCACACAGTTTAAGATAAATATTGAAAAATAAAGAGTAAATGGTTGAAATTTTATTAGGAGAGAAAAAATGTAGCCTACATACTCTTTACTTTATTAGAAAATAAAGAAGCGTATGAATTAATAGAAGGAATATGCACTCGTAGAAAGTACTTCCGAGTTCCAGACGAACCCTTACAAATTTTGAGCCAACAATGAAAATTCTTTTTGTCAGCACTAATACAAAAACAGATGCATCATCTACTGTAAATCACACACTTGTAGGCTTCAAAACTCAGAAATGACCACAACAAGAACAATTTGGGACAGTTTAGAGTATTATTCAGAGTGCTTTGGAGATGTAGCATATATTATAGCAGCAGCAGCAGCATAATCAGTCGCGGTACTGATCCATGAACCTTTGGTGGAATACTGTAAGGCGGGCGACGACGTCTGGTATTTTGTCCTCTTGAGGCAAAATCGTGCACCTAAAATGCCACGTTCCGCTAACCTATTCGCAGCCATGTAAGGAACCAAGCATCAAAACTACTGTAAAAACGTATTTGGCACGCGGACTTAAATTTGCCTCTTGATCTATCATTCGAGTACTTGGGCGTGCATTAGTTGTCCAGTGGGGGAGGTTATGTGGGTCAAGTCACACTCAAGTGTCATGGGCGTTTGTGTGCGTTGAATGCCCTAAGATATGCACTTTTTCCTAACACCAATTGGTTTTAGGAGAGTTGGTAGGCCATGAGGTCAGGTCCTACAAGTGATATTGGAGCCAAGGTCACAAGTCTGGTTCCCAACAAGAGCAATTGCTGAGGGGGTGATTGTTTGTTATGTGTGCATCAATTGTCCTGTGACAGAAGCTATGTGAACCAAGTCACACTTGAATGTCGTAGGCGCTTGTGTGTTGAATATATAATAAGGCTAAGGTGTGCGCTTTTTCTAATACCAATTGTTTTTAACACCAATTGTTTTTAGGAGAGTTGGTAATACCTGAGGTCCTACCTGTAGGTCTTAGTTTGTAATTTTTCTTGGTGTGTTTGTGTGTGTGTTTTTTTAGTCTATAGTGTGTGTTTTTTGTGCTCTATGTCTAGTTCTTAGAGTTGGTTTGTATGCTTCTTGTGTCTTTGTTTGTACTTCCATCATGTTTAAGTGGTTTCTTTATTTGTACTTCTGCGTACACACACACTCCCTTGAGGTTTATGGTTTAGTATTTAGGGTTTAAGGCCCACCCATTTTTTTATTTTCTATTTCTTCGAACAAAGAAAACAAAAGAATTACCTGTCCAAAGCCGGAGCCTGGGACGACTACTATTCCCGTAGCATTGAGAAGGCAGCGAGCATAGAACGCATCCGGAGCAGTCTTTGCTGCTTCTGCGGCCTTTATAGCTTTCTCAGGGAGACGAATTTGAGGGAAAAGATACATAGCTCCTTCTGCTCTATTGCAACTCACTCCTTCCATGCTGTTGAATGCTTCTTCAAGTGTCTGTTCATCAAAAACATGTTTTTTTAAAGGAAAAAAAACAATCTAAAGCAATATCAAATGTACAAAGTCCATCCACGAACGAAACTTTATTGTGTGTATTATGCTTAAAATATGCAAGTTTTCTTTTTAATGTTTTTCTCCCTGTATGGTTTTTATTTCTTCGGAGTGGACGTGGGCTAGGCTCAAATTGCTTGACCGGGACAAGACCTGAGGAGTTTTTATACATAGGATTGGGTTTCTTATACTCCTTCCATCCGAACTTAATTGTCCACTTTTCAGTTTTCGTATTCAATAAAGACATTTTATACTTATTTCTAGAATAGTCTAGAGATAAGGTATGCGCAAGGTTGACATGAATGGGTGACACATTTTATACTTATTTCTTAAAATGATATTTTTTTAGAAAGCAGAAAACTAAACCTGAATAAAGGGAGTTTATGAAACACCTCATAAAATTGGAGATGGATGGAAGTTTGTTAAAAGACAAACTACCTTTGCACGCCTTGCCAGAGATGATAGTATTGCATCTTTCTCAGCACAAAAAGAGTCGTACGATTCATCTCCAACCTGTGTATCAAAATGGATGATAAATTTGAGATCCAATCTGCTGAATAAATTTGCAGAGCATTTCTTTATGTCTAAACTTGCAGAACTTAGCATTTTCTAAAAGATACTACTAAAAGATGTTCATCATATCACAAATCCACCTGCACCCAAACATGTTTTACCCAATAATGCAATATACATTTTGTTTTTCACAATTAAAAAAACGAACTAACCTTAGGTGGGCTCATGACAAGGCTGGCAAGAATCTGGCCAGAAATGTTGGAGCATAGATTTACAGATGCAACTTTGTAAATTTGTTCCCTTATTTCGGGGCTAAATCCAGTGACTTCCATGTAACCTCCTCGCTTTCCACATTCTCCATAGAATCCTAGAGGGCCATAGAGACAGCGTGAACAGATACATCATCAAAGAGGTCAATATAGTTATTGTGAAAGCCATGTGAAAAGGGAGAATGATAGTGCACCTTTAGAAACAGACTGAAATGATACCAAAGAAATGTCCTTCTCTCCATAACCCATAGAACGTGCAACTTTCTTAAATGAGTGGAATTGTTTGTCGGGCACATAGACATTTTCTTGGTATACCTGCCAACGTTTAAACCAACAATTTAATGGCATAAACGGACAAACCCACATCAATAACCAAGTGATCCTATGTTGTTACGGTGTACTTTTTTGGATGGAGAGGAAATTGTGGACCAGATTTTCATTTTAACTTGATAATTCCCAAAATAAAGGATATAAAATGAATTACTAGCATTGAACTGATGTCCTAATCGTCTTATAATCACCATAGAACACATATAACTCCATTTTGAAGTGTGTTTTCCTTTCCTACTCTTTCAAAAACTCCTCTAAAACAGTCTAAGCCAAATGACATGAAGAGAATGAAACACAGAAAAGAACTCTCGGTTAAGGAAAAGAGCCGTAAATTGTGAAATTTACGCACTTCATCTGCCAGAAGCACGAGACCTTCTTTCTTGCAAAAATCTACTATCTCCCTTTGGTTAGCTTCAGCAAGAACCTGTAAGCATAAATGGCTAATAAATCTATATTTAAAGCATCGGAACCATTTTAATACTATAAGGAAACACAATATACTTCGAACGGATCAGTATAGATCATGAAAAGAACAGGTATGTTCTTTTCCAAGCCACCTGTTTACCTGTCCTGTGGGGTTTCCAGGATTTATCACAACCAATGCCCTAACATTGATCCCCTTGGCCCTGGAAGTTTCGAGTTGTTTCTTAAGCTCTGAGACTTCAAGTCCCCATCCACTCGCCTCGTCAAGATAATAAGGAACCTGTAAACATCATATAAGATCCCAAAACAAAAACTGGAAAAAAAATAATTCGTGCCTGTAAACAAGGGAAAATGAAATATCTTCCATGCGTAAGGTGGCGGTTTTTAAGCATTGATTGTATTAGAGAGATGTACATTCAAATGCATATGACTGACTAAAGTTGTGAAATTGTACACTAAATCTAAAACGAGTCAGAACATACGAGAGTACCGCCATGGAGAGCTATTGAAGCAGAGTAAAGTGGATACTGAGGGATGGGACAAAGAATTCCATCACTCTCAGAACTAATCAACAATTGCATCATCATGTGAACCTGGATGAAATATTAAGAATGATAGTCATTAACAACTTCAGCTTGCAAGCAAGGTAGTAATGAAATGACTATGGAACTAGTTTAAATGTTTACCGCTGGGCTTGCACCATCAGTCAAGAAAAGATCATTTGGATTGGCAGGGAAACCATCACGAACTTCTATACCAGAAGCAATTGTATCACGCAATCCTTTGATACCCTATATATAGTGATAATAAAATACAAGTTAAATGATATACTCCATATCTCAAATGAGAAAAACGACTGAAATGAAATTTAGAGTTCTCAGTGAATAAAGTCAGACCTGACTATGGCTGTATGCACCAGTTGCTCTTCCAGGAATTTGATCAAGGATTTGGAAAGCCCGTTCTATGGAGTCCGCACTACAGAATTTAGAAACCATTACAAAAACATTTTTGAAGAGTGCCCTCCATGGAAGACGATCATATAAACCCCAAACAGGAGTCATGTTTCTCTAAAGAATTTAGTACACTATTCTGCCGCAAATGAGCTCAATCTCTTACCTGAACAGGCCTTGGGTTTCACTCTTATCCAAAATGGAAGGATGGTCACATAACGACAGAACCTAACATAAGAAAGTATAACCTCGATGAGTCTGAAGATGGAAACATTCCATTCTTGTTTTCAGGATTTTACAACATAAGATTAAAGTGCACTAACCTCCCTAAAGAAAGTAATTGGCTGCTGACCAAGTGATTGGGGATTTCCAATATTGCAATAAAGTATCTGCAAATATCGGCAGGGAAATGAATGCATAAGATATAGAAATCTGCAAATCGCTGAAGTGAAATAAGAAGTGCACAAACCCCTTAAACTAGAAAAAAGAAGAAAGCAATCCTGGTTTGGAGTTAAGCAACAAATAGGTCACAAAGACAATCAAGATGCATCCAAGCATATAATTTTTTAAGAGTCAATACCTCATCAAACGGATGAGAGCCCGGATTTGAATGCAGCTCCTCTTGTAGTTTCTGCCGAACAAAATGACAAAGGACACTCAGAATTGAACAAAGCCCTTGCAGCTAATTGAACAATATGATAGTTACCTGAGCAAGATTGACAATTTCTCCACGAACAGCATACTCACATTTTAGAACCTGTACAAAGAACAGCAATCAAGAGAATCAAATATTCAGAAACATGGCTATAAAGTGGAATGGTTAACAGGCCATAAAACATGTTAATATCACAATACAGCAGAAAATCAAATGGTGTGTTTGTAATTTGAAATATTTATTCTAGCTGCCTGAACGTGACATGGGTTAGGGATCGGCTTGCTAAGGGTAAAATGCTGACTCTGCTAAATTGGAAAACAAGTAAATCCATTTCAGCCACATTAGTGACAACTGAAAATCTACCTAAGTATAAGAATCACTGAAGCAGAATAAGCACAATAAAATCGGGCTAAACAAATAATACAATGAGGCTCAAGAACCAATAAAACTTAGTTGACTCAAAAAGGAAAAAGAAAGCCATAAATTTATACCAAATTTTGATTAATGGAAAAGGGTATAAATTAAAACTAATCGAGAAAACAAAGGTAATTGGATTCCAAAAAAAAACAACACAGTAGTTAGAAAGCCAGAAACTTTATACAAAAAATTGTGTTGAAAGCAAAACAAAAATTGAAAAGGGTGGAATTGGGGAAGTAAAGTACAATTTTTAAGAAAAGAAATTAAAGCTAAATGGTTTCTTTCAAAGCAACGAAGCACAGTTGAATCGTCCAAAAACTGGGAAGTCTGGATTTTACCTTGGGGTTGATGGAATGAATATTGATCGGAGCAGATGAATAATCAGAACCCGCCATGGAATCGGACACAGACGAAAGATCCGCGCTGGCGCTGGTCAAGAAACGGGACAGAGATGAAGGGGAATAAGCGCGAGGCGGAAACGCGTGAGAAGACGAAGCGAGTCGATTGACGACATTTCTGGCTTTATCGGTCACGAATCTCCGCATCGTGGAAAAGGCACGCCTCCGTTTCCAAAATCAATCCCTAGAGGATGCCAAGTGTCGGTCTCTAGAACCTTTGACTCCCCTTGGCTGGCTGGCTTGCTGTTCAAGACTCGAAGGATTTCAAAATTTGATTCTTTTGTGCTGTGCCCGATGTCAGTCATCTTCTTGTTGCGATCTGTGTTTTCAACTTTTGACAGCCACCCCTGCCTGCACACAACTATCACAGAAATTCACACACTTAACTTTTTGAAAAGATATTTTCCCAGGGAGAAAATTGCATTATTACAGGTAGTACATGTAAAAGAAAAAGGATTATGCTATGTCTACCCCAATGTTTGTACCCTAATTTGTACCCCACAGTTTTGCACCAACACTTTGTGTTGTAAAACTAATTTTTGTTAAACGCACCAACATTTGTGTCTGTGTGAATTTTTATTAACGCACCAACACTTGTGTCGGTGTAAACCATCGAAATGTTTGTGCAAACCTGTGGTGTACAAATAGGGTATATTTTTTGGTGTAAGTGTAGCATGGTCCAAAGAAAAATGTTAGCCCATTTGTCCCCACCCCCTCCATAACCACAAAAAAAAGGCAAGAGACTAAAAAAATTATATAAATAAAAATAAAATAAAATTAAGTGGTAGAGAGAGGGGTGAGAGACAAATGGGGTACACCTTTGGTGTACCCCTAGCATTGCTCCATGTTAAAACATCACCATCACTCCATCCCTATACGCCACATGTTGAACATTAAGTAAAAAGCATTTTCTTGTTATATTTTTATCTCAGTTTATAATGTTTAACTAAAGCATTTTTTTAAATTTATTTAAATATTGGTGTCGAATAAAAACTTAAAACTGTAGATTTAAAAATAAAGTAAAATATTTTATGAAATAAGAGATTTCATTACTATAATTTTTAACAAAAATGATACGGAAACATGTAAAGAAAAAAAATCTAATTTAAGCCTGTAAATAATGGATAAGACAATTAAGCAGAACGAGATGATGGGAGTAACTCAGAAAATTAAAGATTATATTTATTAGAAAAATATTAAATTTAACTAAAAATAAATAATTGTATTACAATGTAAAAATAAAGTATAACTTATGCGGAGAAAGCACGAGCATCTAATCTTTATATTTTAAAATCATATTATTATAACATCTTTAGTAATGGTAACAAATATGTGTCTCTCTCCTCTCTCCAAAACGTAATTGAGTTATTACTGTACTCACATTCGATAACTTTCATTTACTTATGTATTTTCATTGATTGTTTAATAAAATAAAATATTTTCTTCACTTTTTATTTTGTGAAGCATTTTACATTTTTTTTTATTATATGAGGAAGGTATATGAGTAGCAGAGTAGGCAATGAAGGAATGAAATAAGAAAAGAAACAAACAAAAAAGGAAAATGGAAAAGAAAAACAAAATAAACAAATATGTTGTTCAAAAAGGAAGTAACCAGGTTTCAAACACTCAACCTATGTCTAAAAAAATAAAACACCACAAGCACAAACAACCTCTTTCCAACCCGTCTATACATCAGATCCATGTTTGTGCATATGGGTTTCATTAAATATATAATAACATTATATATGTATATGTGTGTGTATATAATTTCAAAATTTCTATGGGATCGCGTGACGCCATGTGACTCTACATGGGTCCGCCTCTAGACCTACTAACATGTAGGGTTTTTATTTAAACAATTTCATATGTAGTACATGTAAAAATCTGTATGTTTTGCATAGTTTGTCACGCCCCGGACCACCCGACGACGTGGAAAACCGCCGTACGATTCATGGGTCCCTTTATCGAAAGGAATCTATGAATCATACGAGGCTAACAGTATACATGTATCACATCAAGCTAAACATAATCACTTTATTTATTAAGATAAGATCAGAGTTTAAGCGGAATTACAACATGCCAGCCACGAAGGGCAATTTAAGGAAACAACAGGATTGGAATAGTTTAAGAAAACAACATGAGCATAATAAAAACTTCAAAGAGACATGTCCACAAACCACACTGAGGACTTGCTTGCAACTACGGCAAGAGATTCACGAGGAAATTCTAGCACGAGGACGGCTTCGCACCTAAAATAGTTAAGAGGAGGGGTCAGTACAACGCCACATCGTGTACTGGTGAGGAGAGAAATACGATATCCCAGTAATTTGTTTATGATAGTGTAAACACATGTCCACTATTCTTTTGTTTCCAACATATTCATCATTTCTATCCTTTGGGGAAGCCCCTTTTTTGTGCTCAAGCTAACTGATCAGGTTATCTTGGAACACCCGCCGAGGTGTCTGTCTCAAATATATACAATTTTGTTCTCACACTATAGTGAAAAATAATCCCGCAGGATTAGTATTTTGTTTTAAAGAAAATTTCTTAGAAAAGCCTTAGGGTGTTCATGGCTAAAGCCTAACCCTATTCCCAAAAACCTCGGCGTTAGGGCGTGTTAGTCTTAGTGGTGGCGCTAAGCACTAACACTTGGGAGGTACTCAAAGTAGCTCCTCTTATTTGTGGGCTAGGAAGCAATCACATGAGATCCTTCCTACCCGTTCCCAATAATAGCGATCGGCATCCGGACCTATTATTATGCGTCCACTTAGGGATGCACTATGAAAATAATATACGGCTGAGATTTATCCACCGATGGCTATAAAGCCATTTACCTATAGGGCCCAACTAATAATAGCATCTCAGTTTACAAAATTCAGAGATCTATTATTATTCTGTATATTCTATCTCATGACTTACTACTTCAAGGTTACAAAATCATGACACAACAATTTAAAAATGTCCAAACCATAACCTTTAAACGTTTTGGAGTGAAATTATGTATTTTATTAAAATACATAAATCCTAACAGTTATAGCCCACACTTGAGGCCCGTTACACTTTAGCCCAAAACTTTACTCTTCTCTAAAACCTACTCCCTCCGTCCGGAAATAAAGTTTACGTTTCTCCTTTTTCTCCTTCCGAAAATAAAGTTTACATTTCTAATTTTAACTCACACTCTTCCAAAAATACCCTCCGCCTTTTTCTAATTCACACCTATCCACTCCCATTCTCTTATCCGCCCCTTCCTCCTCCTCATTTACGCTACCCGTATCTGACTCTTCCTCTCCTCAATTAATTCTTTGCCTCTTCTTCTCCTCATTTACAGATCTAGATCTGTATACATTTTCTCAGTTCATCCTTCTCTTTAATGGAATTCGATGATTATCTATATGAATCATGCATTCCAGAAACCCAATTTGTAGATGGTGCCTACGTCTACAGCTCTGACGAAAAGGAAGAGGACGAGGTAATCGTTCTCGAGAATAACGAGAATGTTGCTGATGTTGCCCCGGTCAAAGCGAAAGAGGTTATCGACCTTACCTCTGAAAGCGACTCTGTTATTCATCTGGAGAGCAAGGAGGTTGAGGTCATAGTTCTTGAAACTGATTCTGATGGCACAGAGGGATCCGATATATTTCCAATTCAGAATTCTTCCCAGATCTGCTCATGCATGCACCTCCACATTGATATGTTGAACATCTTACTTCCCAGTCCAGACCCCAATTTTTGGGCTTCGAAGTACAAGTAGGGAAGTACTTTTACATCCTTTGTCTGCATTCCTTTCGTTATGTGATGAGTTATTGTGCCTGCGCAAAATTTGATGCTGTGATTGTATCATAATGTGATGTTTTCCCAATCTATGATGACTGGATTTATTCTACCTGGTCTCAGAAAGGATTATGTGCTGGGATGAGCAATTGATGAACTGTGGATGTTTTTAAGTACTTATTCTGTGTTCCTATTTTCTGTGAATACTGGATTTAAGTACTGTGATGAAGGATTATGGGCTTTTTCTGAGTACTTATAATCTATTAGTATTTCCTGAAGATATGAAGACATTAATTACTGTAAATAAATATCCTATGAATATGTGATTGTACTATGATGAACACTTAGCCATGTGTGCGTGTTTCTGAGTACCTTATATGTGTTCTAAGTTTCCTTAAATTCAGCAATGATGATGTGGTATAAAGTAAACAAAGGTAAGGTATGCTGGATGTTGTAAATACATATAGAGCAGGTTGTGTAGTTGCCTTGTTCTGAGTACATATATACAAAGGTTTAAGCACTTGCAAAAAACCAAAAAAAAATTAAGCACTTGGAAATACACTCCCTGCCAGCATCCAAAAAACCAAAAGCCCTTCCCCTGCCCAAAAAACTTTTTTGTTGTTCCCATTCCATTCAGTTCAAGTCTGAAGAGAGGTATTCATCTTCCTCTTCAGGGTTGAACTGAATCATATCTTCAGGTGTACTCCCATTTCCTTCTCCAAGTAGTCTTGCTGTGTTGACAACTACCTCTGGGTCTATGTTAAGGGACTTAGGCAGTGTCCCGGTCCTTTCCAGTCTGCCTTTGCTCATATGCTGTAGTTTATAATTGTTTCCTCCTTCTTTTTCCATGATTGTAGCCATGACCTGCTGATAACTTAACCAAACTTTATTTAAAGTTTCTGGACTTAGAGCATTATAAGCTCCTTGAACTGCCTCTAACAATTCCTCAACTGTGTTTGGAGCACACTGTTCTTTTAAGGACGGGATGGCTCTGAAAAACCCAAGATCAAGGACATTTAAATCTGGGGAGTTGGGGGGTTGGTTACCTAGGGTAATGTGGAAACCATTACTGTTTCCTGCAGCTACAAATTCTGAGTCTAAACCTTGAATGTGTGGCCTAGCATTATCCTGTTGAATATGAATGTTCTTTGATAAATTTCTAGGCCACTTCTCTTGGATAGCTGGAATTACTTTATTTATAAGCATGTCTTTTGTGACTTGTTTGGTAACTGCCTTGATTGGTTTGACTTCCAAGACCCCTTTAGCCCTGTTCTTGCTCCTTCTTTTGGCTTCAACAGTTTCAGTAAAATGAAAAATGCCAATTTTTCTATCCCAAAGAACAACTCCATTATCATCAATAAGTGGTCTACCAACCACACACAAGAACATGACTTTTGTAATGAACCTTTTTGATTTGCATGTCCTATAGGGGTCAACTTCTTCAGGAAGAAGGTAAAACCTCTGAGATGTTTTGGTCATAAAGAACCACTTCTCATCAATGTGCAATATATTATGAAAAGACTTGAATATAGGTTGGTGAGGCATACTCAAAGGTTCTATTTGGTCTAAACAGAATTTCAACCTAGCTTGTTTATTAGCAGCGGTAAGGTACGGTTTGATAGCATTTGTGTGACTCCTAAGCATTCCTCTTTTTATCCACTGATGGACAGTGGACTTTGGCTTTTCAATTGCTGCTGCTAATGTTCTGATAGTACCCCGCTTCCGGAGGGGGGTATCTTCAATGGCATTTACATCCATTTCTGCCCTTTTCCTCCCACAATGACCTGCCATTTTGCTTCTCACATCAATGGCAACCCCCTGCTCTAATTGTTTTTTTACGATGACCCATATCTTGCTAATCGTCTGTCTTGAGACATTAAACTGTGCAATAAGCGTGTTGATCTGCCCCCTCTGAGCTGAATAGGAACCATCAATATTCTGTTTTGAATTTCGTAGTAAACCTTCACTAATAAGCTGCCTTGTAGTTTTGTCAAGTTTTTTGGAATTCATTTATGGATTTTGAATCAATTTTGTAGGGATCCAAAAAGTGAAAAAGACAAAAAAAAAGAAAAGAGGCTGTCACACATAGGAGGAGGAGGAGAAGAAGAAGAAGATGAGAGAAGAATGAAGGAGCCAAAAGGGGAAAGTCAATGGTTTTATAAAACCAGTGGAGGGAGTTAGCCTTGTTGGGGGGGGTTTGGGCGGGAAGGGAAAAAACTGGAGGGACCTCCAAATTTGTTTGTAATGTTAATGTATTTGGTCATTTTTAATCATTGTTATGTAATGTTTGATTGGATGTAAAACAATGTTTAAATAGTGTTTTCTCCCCACTACCAATAGTCTTCTCTTTTTTTCCTATTCATAGCCACACGCACCATTCTTTTTCTTTCCCTTCTTTTTCCTTCATTAACGGTATTTTGGTCATTTCACAGGCTTAGTCAACCTCCCTTAAAAATAACCAAAAGTCAAAACGTAAACATTAATACCGGACGGAGGGAGTATTTCTTATCTAGAAAATCTCCTGGGCTCTGATTCATTCATTTGCGTCGGAAGAAGGAGAGAGAGCAGGGAGATCCGTGATGGTGTAAATTATTTGACCGGTGAAACTATACTAGACCGGGTCTAGAATAGTTTGCTTGATTTGGCAAAGTAAGAAAGGTAAAAACTCGTGGATTGACCGGTAGGACTTTAGGTGGAACACCTGTAGCCCAATTTATATTATAACGGAGAATGCACGGGTGCTTTTACAAGGGATTTTAGAGGAAATGAATCCGGATCCCCTTCCTCGAGGGTTACATGAGGTATATATACTAAGATGGGGGGACAGGACCACGTGCACCCACGTGGGGGCATGCTGCTGATGTGGTGTTATGACTGTCCCTGAGCCACCTTGTCATCTTGCGAGGGGGATTACCCTCCTTGTCACGTTCTGGCTTGGAAATATTCCTCCAACATCTCAGCCATGCCAACCACTACAGTCCAAGTCATTTTGGATCCTTCCTGCCGACACTCGTCGACCTTGAAATACTACCCCGACTGGTCATCGTGGGTTGATTAATGGACTTCGGAAATTGGTCCCACAGACTTGAGTAAGTTGACCGGTATACTATCCGAAGTATACCGGTCAACTTTGCGGTCGATCCGTCGTCTCTTTGCCGCCGATATGGACCTTTCTCTCAAGTTTGACCTTTTTGACCGGTCAACTATCTGGCTCTGATCTCTGACCGATCATGGGTGAAATACACCCATCATTAAGCCCTCCACTTCTCAGTTATGCAATTTTGTCATAAGCGGGAAGTAAAAATTTAAAACTGGACTTTTAAATTCGAATTTTTGGCTTTTCCCGCTCGAAATTTTTGAATTTCAAAATTCAAAAAGTGTCAGTTATGACACGTGTGGCCTGCTGGGCGGCGTCAGACCCGCGTCCCTTCGTCTTCCCAGGCGTAATGATGGCGCCGCCTGATGCAGCGCACCCAGGTGAAGCCACGTCGCCTCCTTCTCCTTCCTCTTCGCCTATATAAAGGCTTCCAACCCCATTGCCTTCCTCACTTCTTCCTCGCGCGTCTCCCAAGTTTCACCGGTCAATCTCCTCTCTCCTGCCTTCCAGCCCTCCGAGCCAAGTAAGCTCTCTTCTCTTTTCCCCAGCTTTCCTTTCGTTCTCCTTTTTCCCTTCCGGTAAATGTCTTCCTCCGACAGTCAGGACATTTCCGCCTCGGATGCCTACGCATTCGAGGAATCCCCATCTTCTTCCTCCTCCACCGGGTCATCTTCACCCGATTTTGTACACCGGTCGATTCCCAACACCACCGCCCCTGAACCGCAACCGGTTAACCAAATGCCCGGTTAGGTTTTTCATGAGAGGGACGAACCGGTTGACGATGAGCCGGCCCCCTATGACCCTGACAACGAGTCATATGAGGGATGGGTGAACCGGCTGGATGCAGCCGGTTACTTTCCCCTCCCTTCCAGCTACCCGCTCGACATCTACCCCCGGGTCTCTAAGATTGCCCAAAACAAAGCCCGAAGGAATCTCCCGGAGGGGTACGTTCTTGAGTACGATCCCAGTTGGCCCAACATTATCGAGCCCCACCGGGATGATAGGGTAGGTTTCCATATCATTTCTTTGGAAAGTGGCACCGTCTTCCCCCTGCGTCCCCTTTTGGTCGAGTTATGCCACTGCTTCAAGATTCTCCCCGGGCAACTCACGCCCAATGCCCATCGTTTTCTTAATGCTTTTGTAAATATCTGCTCCCATCTCAAAATCAATCCTTCTCTTCGCTTTTTCCTTTATTTGTTTGAAGTCCTTCCCGGTAAGTCGGGTTGCGACGGCTACGTCTATTTCAAGGGCCGTAACGGTCACCAATTCATTTCTGACCTTCCACAAAGCAACCGGCTGTGGAAGGAAAAATTTGTCTTTATAAAATTCCCCGCCGTTTCTCCTTTGGCCGGCATAAAGTGGAACGACCACCTCCTGAAACTGCAATACACTGAGCCGGCTAATGCTCCAGACTTGGAAGAAAGTTTGGAGAAACTCCTACAAGGGGACCCGTTCACCGGGCAAATGTTCCACTACGGGGCTTGGATTTGGAGGATCTCACCGGGTGGCACTGGTACCCCTAGGGCTGATGAAGCAGCGGGGCACGGGGTACCCTCCCCGGGCAACACTGTGGAAGCTGGGGGTTCCAGTCACCCAGGTATCCTCCCTTCCTCTTCTTCCTTTTTCCTTTCTATATGCCGGTCCATGCTCGAGTAATATTTTCGCTTGTTTTGCAGAGATGAACTTCAGAGCATTCAACATCCCCGCGAAGAAGACCGGTGGCTCCTCCTCTGCTGCCCCAAGAACTGTACCGGTGCAACATGAACCGGTGGAGATCAACTCTGAGGAGGAAACTCCTCCGACCGGGAGGACCGGTCAGGCCGGGAGGACCACGGTAAACCCTCCCCTAAATAAGGGGAAGGGGAAGGTCCGAACCAAGCACGCCGCCACCACCCATCCCTCGGCAAAGAGGAGGAGGGGAGAAAGCGTCCCGGCCACAGAGTCGTTAGAGGAGCTCTGGGTCAAGATGGGGTGAAAGCTGAAAGAGGTAACATTCGCCCGGTACATTTTCTTGAACTTATTACGTCTGTCGTACTAACCGGTACGTTCAGTTTTGCAGATGGGTGAGGTTGGGCCTGAAACCTTGGGGAGGCTTGCCGAGGACTCCCCTTCCCGGTCGCTTCAACTGGAGGAAAAACTGAAGAGGCTTGAAGCCCAGAACCGGGAGCTTCAAGACCTGACAACCCGGCAACTTGACGAGATGGCCAACCTCTCGGCGGTTGCCGGTAGGGCGAACGCGGAGGTCCTCCAGCTGAAGGAGGAGAACTCGCTGTTGATGGGGGAGGTCTCCCACATGAAGGAGGAGGCATGGGTGAAGGAGCAAGAGCTGCCCGGTCGGGCCAGACAGTGGATGGAGGAGAACCTAATAGAGGCCGCCCGGGTGCTTACTTCCTCTGAGGAGAGAACAATGGAGGGCTTCAAGCTTCTGTACCGGGAGGACCATGGGAAGGAAATGATCACCCAAATCGGCTCCTACGGTTTCATGTCGGGCCAAAAAAGAGACCGGGAGGCTACCCACGCGATCCTCGCCGACCGGGACCCGCATTTTGACGCTGATTCATACGGCCTTGCCCCCATCCCGGACGAAGAACCTGCACCTCCTTTTCCTCTTGAGTAATCTTCCCGGCTGCGACCGATTGAATTATTTTGTAAAACTTCAAACTCATTTCCCCGGGAATGCCCGGTGTATGTGTAAACATTTAACATGCTTGTTTCGTTTGAATGTCATGTTTAATTTCCTTACCGGTTAATCTTCCATATCTGCTTGCTTGTTGATTTATACTTTGCTTTTGCTTCTTATAAATTCTGACCGGTAGCCCAATCAGACCACTTCTCAATTGTTTCTGACCGGGAGAACTTCAAAGTTCGCTTTGATCACATTATCTAAAGGATTAGCTCGAGTAGTTTTGACCGGTTAAACTTCAATTTTTGCTTCGCCAATTCTCTGATAGAGTTTAATTTGACCGGTGAATTCCCACTCGATGGTTTGACCGGTCAACTACCTTGCCTTCCGATGGATGTAGAACTTTTGAAGTTCTGCTGTGTCCATACCCAACCGGGGTATTCTTTTTTTTTTTACTTGACCGGTAGGTTGTAGATGGAAACACCCGTAACCTAGTAATTCTTGAAGTATCCTTAACCGGTAAGAATACTGGAGATTTAACCATGTCGAATGGTTTCGAACCCTCTCCAAGGTTCAAATGCACCCTTCTTCCAGGGCCCCCTCTTCCGGGTGATTAAGTCTTTTAATGGCCCTTTGATTTCTACCATCCCGGGAAGGCCTTAGCTCACCCTCCCGTTCAAGTCTTCCCTGAGAAGGGGGAAACAGGATGCGCC